TTAAATTATTAACTTAGTAATTATATGTTTAATTATTAATTATATAATTTTAATTCAAAAAATAATTAAAACATTGTTTAATAAGAAATTCGAAATAGAGGAGACTACTTTGATTATGAGATGGTTAGATTGGGAGAATTTTCAGAAAATTGTCGGAATTAATTTCTACTCCTCATTAACGTTTTGAGTAAGAATTAATAAAATGGAAACCAAAAATATATATTGGACAGAAAGTTTTGATTTAAGTAGCAGAAAGAGGTGATTCAGGAATGAATTTTATTAATGAAACTAATGAAAGAATAGAGAGGAGAGTGATGGCATTATTAGCGTTAGGAGTATGATTAGTTTATTATTAGAGGAGAAAGATTAATTAAAGTTCACGAATAGATTAATAGAGTTGATATGGCTAATTAGAGAATACAGGAAGAATTTAAAATTATGTTATGATTAATTTAATAAGATTATACTTAAAGATTGGATACTAGAGTAACTGAAGTCATTAATAGAATTGCTGTGGAACATGAAAAAAATGAAATAAGCATGGACTTTAAAGGATTAAATTAATATGGAGAGATTATAATACGAGACAGGTATAAACTATTATTGAGACATAAGTGAATTAAATACTAGTAAATATTTAAAATGAAGAAGCCAAAAGATATTCACATGTAATTATGAGAGGATTTATTAAAAATATAAGAAAATATCAAATAGGACAATAAATTATTTAAAACACTTTAAGTTTAAAGATTAGATTGAGATGGCTTATGGAGCATTATAAACTTAAGTTAAATAATTAGAGAAAGATTGAACAGAAAAAGCAGAAAGATTATCATTATTTATAGGCAATTAAACATCTGGCTAGAAATATCAAAAAGTTAAAGTGATATTTCTAAATTTTGTGAATCGTTTAAATAACAAATAAATGCCTTTGAAGGATTGAAATAAGATCTGAATTCTAGTTAGACTATTATAGAATTTAATATTGATATGATTAAATAAGATTGTTAAACTGATATAGAAGGATAATGGACACAGTTATTCTATTTATATAGATTTAAGGAGAAATAAATAAAGACATAGCGAACTAGATTTTAAATTGTAAATCAAATTCAAACATTTGACTGGAAAAGTCAATTAATTATAAATAAATGATTAGATGAAAATTTTAATGAAAAAATTGCTCAATCCAAATGAAAGAATTTAATTAATGAAGCAATAAAAAAATATCTTTTTATTAGTAAATTTTTTTTCCAGACATATAGTAAAAAATTAGCAGTAGAAGTTAAATCCTTTATTTGATGATCTGAATGGATTTTCATTAGTAATTGAAATAAAAACTTTTAAACTATTTTAATCTTCAAGTCTAACAACAACACCCTATTAATTTTTTTTTAAGTTAAAACTCTCCTGCAAAATTTAAAGTTTGTAATCTTCAAACCTAAAACTATTCAAATTATTTAAATTGGCATCTATAAGTATTACTTTATTAGACTTATGATAAAATTTAAATTACATCTGGTTAACATGGACATAAAAAATTTAATTAGGCCTATGAATACAACTTTAATGATAGTTAATCATAGTTAATCATCTAAGGACTTATAATTTTTTTAAATCAATCTAATTTTTTAATAATGATACGCTTGCTTTAATTAAAAAGCCTTTCTAATATGATAAGATTATTTCAAAAGTTTTCTCAGTTTAAGAAGTTTTACATAATTTTTAGATTGAGAACATAAGGAAAATTTATAATATATTGGAAGAATTTTATATTCGTTTAAAGGTAATTAAGATTATATATTAAACAAATAATTTTGCGAATATGCTTCATTTTAGTAATAAATAAATTAAGTCTTTCTTGCAATTGAAAATTCTGAAAGAGTAATAATTGATGAATTTTATTAATTTAAAAAAATAATTTAAATTCAATCAAAACCTACTCTAGCAAATTTTACTCAAATACTTTTAAAAGTTAAGTTTTCTCCTACAGAAATGGATAAAAACTAATGGCTAATTAACACAATTAATCAATATATTTATTTTTTCATAAAAAATAAATTGAATTACTTAAGTAGAAGAAATAATTTCAAACAAAAAGATTACAGTTATTCAATCTATTTCTTTAAATTATTTTGCTCCCAACACTCTCTTATCTTTAACTATTTTTCCAAGTCATATTCAAGTCATATTCTAACTTTTTCTCAATTAATATTTAGTTATAGCGCCTTAATATTTTCATGATCATTCCACTATAATTCAAACATGTACAAATACAGAGATTCTCTTAACAGCTTAAATATTCAATTAAAAACCATTATCTTTCAATTTTAAAATTATTGATTACTAAGGTCATTAATAATTGGTATTTCTCTTTTTATTCTATCTTTAAATTCTTTTTGTCACTAAATAAGTCAATTTAATGACTTATTTTTTATTTTTATCAAAAATGAAATTTGCATAGTTATATTAATTTTTCCATAATAATTCTTTCTATAATACTAAATATATTAATTTTTCAGGAATTATCTAAAGAATTCTAGTAAATATTTAGTAATAGAATTATTAATTTTTTTACTAATTTAGGGCCAAAATTAGTATATTTGATGTATTTTACAAATCTGATTTTTTATTGTAATTTCAAGTCTTACTCTTTTCATTTTTAAATTTAATCAAGATAGTTTAATAAATATCTCTTGTACGGTTGTTATGCTTTAATATTTTAATTTTATTTAAAACTAGTAAATAAATGCCAAAACTTTAATTAGAAATATGTTTACTGAAATAAGTCGAGCATGCATTAGAAATCTTTTTAATATCAATTAAAATTTCCTATTGAATTAATGATAAACAAGATTTGATTTATGTCTGTCTGCTTTATATATATCAATATAAAAATTTTAATAAATTGAATGCAGAAAAATTGAATATATTATATTAATACTTCTGGAGTTGATTAAAACTAAATCTTATAATCATAATTAAAAGAATAAGGATCAACATTAGTTTGAAATAATATATAAATTGTAAACTAATTTTTATTATTTTTAACAATATTATGCCTAATTTTTTCCCCCTTTGCTCAATAGGAGTAAGACTTCAAAATTATATTGTTTAGAAGATGATTGGAAATGATGATATTTTAGTGATCGGTAAAGAATTTGGAAATAGGATAAATCGAAGAATAGCGATTTAATGATAAGAGAATAAGAATATTTGATAGTCACGATGGACGTTGTGTTGGAATTTCAGACATAATGGTGCAGGAAAAGCATAATACTGTGTTCCATTAAGTTCTTATATGTAGATTTTTGATTATTAGGAATTTAAAATGTACTTATGAATATTATTTAAAAAGTCTTGATCCAAATAATCCTAATTTTCAGAAATGTAATCATAGAATTGCTACATATTTTTTAAAAACTATTTGTAAAACTTTTAATCTATTTGTTTTTTAATTGACAAAAGAACTGCACTTCAATGGACACCCTAGGGTAAGTTCATTGTTGAGAATTCGATCTATACAGGGAAATAGTTGGCAAGTTTTTGATGCTGATGGGAAGATTAAAATTTGGAAAGTTGAATCAACAGTATATATATATTAATTATATAATTAGATTCTTTGGAACCATTTATGGAAAACCAGCTAAAGAAATGTCTGTTAGATGCATAAATTTAGTTTATATTCTTTATTCTTGAAAAATTTACTAAATTAATTTTAAAATAATTAAAAATCAACTGAAGTAATTTTATATTATTTTAGCTAAGAACATT